TACTTCTCCCCATCCCAAATACTTCTCTCCCAGATCCATCTGACCATATTTTATCCTTGCCGTTCTACAAAATTAGTAATTATACAATCAGATTGCCGTTTCATCGTCATACATGTCAATAAATCAGTCAGCCGAATCACTGAGACCGCTATTCCTTCACATATCTGAAATACTTACATAAATCATGGAATTACTGGGTGCTGGAACCAAGTCAATTACTCAAGTACAATGTATTATCCCAATTCCGCATCAATGATGGGCCTTTAGATAAGTCAAGATTCACCAGCTGCGCATTCAACAACCACTTGTTCCATGCTCTCAGATCTTTTCTCAAGTGAAGAGGACTTTGATTACTAACAGTATTTATGAAGTAGTATTCTCTGCAGCACTTAAATAATGAAAACACCTCTCCTCAAAACGCGATATGGTCAGTTGGACTTTCTAAACGGTTTAATTTGAGTGTAAGTTTGGACCAGTTCCCTTTCATCAAAATTGGTAATTGAGAGCAATTGTTATGGGCAATATAGTCACGATATATTGGTCATAAAGTGGATTCATGGATGCTGGCACAAGATAAAATCGTTGACGAAGATGCACTTGGACCGACAAGCTGCTCGGAGTTTGACAAAAACGTGCTCTATTACAAGAAATGCGTCCCAACCGTACCGCTAATGCGTGCCACTACAATCGTTACAGCACGTTTTCAATTATTGTTGTTATATTCGCTATGTTATGAGGAATATAACGATTTTAAGTTGAATACCTTTCTATGTGGACTATAGAACTTTTTATGATGGAGCTGCACGCGATCCATTGGGGTTCTTAGAGCTTTTTATTTGTTCTCGCTCCCTAACAGTTGCTGTCCTGAAGAAGAGCTTGCGATTTCCACAACGAGACCACAGGTGTGAAAGCTAGGTGAGTGATTCCCCAGACTAAAGGAACTGTTTCGGTAATCAGATTTCGGTTCAGTTGCTATCTGGTCTGAGCAGGTGGATCCTTCTTCAAATTCCTCTTCACTGAAGCTGGTAATCGGGCTTTTATTTATTACCACGCTATCTTTTTGTTTTTAATACATGATATCACTGCTCCCAATCGTGTGCGCGGCTGCGAGGCGGCTAGTTTGGCTTGTAAGATGGGCGAGGTTGACTATAACCGTCCATTTTGGCGNNNAAGCAGCGAATCTAATGTGTTTGGTGAATCTTCGAAAGCCTGGTGATTCATAAGTTTACTTACCATAGCACAAATAGGTTTCGCCTTTTCAAATTAGTCCGCACACAAGTTCCCTCGAAAATTCACTTGTATATTGACTTTGTGATAGTAGACATTTAGCAGTAGTTTTTTACTTGATTAGAACTTCTCAATTACCATTTCATTAACCAATCAATAGTGCATCATACTTTGTCCGATCAATTCACTAGTTGTTTTCTTGTTTTTTTTTCTTAACAAAGGTGAACGGCGATCGATCGATCGAGAAGTGGCATGCGAATCGAAGCAGTAAGATGTAAAGTACTTACGAAATCAGTGTATTATTCGGTTCCATGGCTAATTCCTCGTTCACTTCACTCCTCCTCGCTACTAATTAGTTACTTTTTCATTTTCTTATTTTGTAACGGGCGTTAACGCATCCGTTCTTTGGAGGCTTCCGCATGTTTTGCCTTATTGCTGCATTTATTAGCTATTTTCGCTGCTTTTTTTTCTGAAACTTTTTTCGCAGTACTACGCTCATGCTGTTTACATAATTGTAGTTACAAAAACCAAATTGTAAATCCTGCCCATCTCTGGTTCCCCACCGTAATACTAGTCGTAAAATAATTGCTGAAATAACGTCATGTCCTAGAACGTGGGTGTTTTGTCCGCAACTGTTTTGCAACTGATGCATGCTATTTTACGAGAGTTATGCTTTAAAAGTACTCGGTAGGTAATGGAGTGAGGCAGTAGTTGTAATTCATCTCGGGATAAGTAACCTTATCGTATTATAACTTCTAATACTTCCAATCGTAAAAGAAAACGCGTAGTGATCGTATGATAGTCACGGATAGTACACCTCACTGTGACACAATGCTATTTATTTTACGGTTATCGTTACGGTAGGGTTTTAGGGGTTTCTTAAATGACATTTTTGTGAAACAAATAAATGTTTTCTTGGTGATTTCCGTAGGATTTCGTAAAAAGCAGGCTTCATTCCTGTCGATTCTATTGCCTACACGTATTTTGTTTGGGATATGTCCAGTGTTGCTATAAGACGAGTCAGAAAAAGTGCAAAAGCTAGGAAACCGTGATGGGAAGGCCAACGTGTTGGTCGTCGTCCAATGATTAATGGCTGGCCCGAGCCGATGGCCACCACAATGCGTCAATGCGTCGTCATCGTCGCGATCGCGCGCGATCTCTCACGCGTCGCTGACGGTCGCCGTCGCCGTTATCGCGCCATGTCGCGTATATCCCATGTGATGTGGACATCGTCGAACTGGATCATTTAAATCACGCTCTCACTCGACACGAACGTCATTTTCCCTATCTCACCCCCTATTCTTACATCTCATCCCTTCACCCCACCGCTATCGATCTCACCACACCACCGATTTCCGCTTATTCACTTCAATTCGGCCTGACCTCTCTTGGTCACCGACAACGAATTTGAATCGGATGGGACGAAATTGAACCCTGATGTTTATCTGTTTTGCTGATTATCACAGCGCTCCCGCCATCCTTGCAGTGTAAGGAACGTTCCATGCGTGTTTGCACGCCGACAACGGGTCATTGACGTCTTGGCTTTGTTGGCTAAAAGTCAAACGATCGTGTGTGTCTGTGTGTTTATCGCCTCCACTAATGTGACGTAATCATTTAAATTTTATTAGTCAGTTGGATTTTTAATACTGTTCAGGATAGAGCAGCTGCCATGGATTTTATTCAGAGTTCTTCGGCAGCACCAAGTTTAAAACGATTTTTCGGCTTACTGGCTAGCCACGTTTGTTCACCGGTATTTGTTTTTTTACATTAAATTCTCATTTAATTCTTCCATGGAGCATTTTACAAGTCATTACTTTTGTAAAAGCGTAATTTTTCCTCAAGTGACCCAACTTACATTTTAACTAAGCCTACCCATAAAAAGCTTATTTTGTTGATATCTAAAAAGGACATATTTCTAAAAAAGTAGGAAATTTTCCCATTTGAAGGTGGCAGTACTAAGCTGAATAGTCCTGACAGTTTAGGCCAACTCCATTGTTTTGGTAACTTGTCCCCAATCACCATTGAAGAAAAGTAGTTCAGGTTCTTCTTTTAGAATCTTCGTCGGAGATCGATTATTGTATCGGCTTAAGAAGTGTTTGGGGAATTCCTTTTTTTTCATTTCAGTTCCGATCTTTGTTTGAATTCACTTTTCTTATCCTGTATTGTGCCCGCGCCACATTTATCCCTACTACGTTTTTTTTTCATCAAACACAGTTCGACTGTAAAAGTTGTAAAAATTGCTGTAAAAGTATTTGAATATCAGAAATTTTTTTTATATAAGATGTACAAATGCAGTATGTATATATAAGCTACTTTTATGTTGACACATAAGTAACTGAGTGTTTTTTAAAGCAATTTACGATTATAAATCAGATACCCGAGCATTTTCCGGTCAGTATATAGAAAAATTCTATTAAATGTTCCATAAGTAAATATAGTTTTAGTACATATTCCTTTACTGTGAGAGAAAAAGTTTATTTACTCTCAGCAAAATACGTGATCAGTCAGTTTCTAACATATAATGTACTATTGTGATCTATTGATTTTAGCATATGGCCATGTATAAACTTACCAACGGTGGGCGAAACTTCACGATGAAGTTTTTTGCAATACTATAGCTTGGAAGCAGTTTACTAGCTTATCTTTTGGTATACTCTGTTGTGAAAAGTTTGCCCCATCATAACCATGCAGGAGCTTTGATCGTGACTTGTAGTATCGGTACAGATCGCGCGATCTAACAGTAACTGTTGAAGCGAAAAATCAATTCGTATCCAAATGCAGTACGTGGTACCTTAGAATGAGGTGTGTTGTTCGAGACTATCCTGGGACTACTACATGTTATTTTGTTGAAAGCGATAGTAGCAGTTAAAACCACTACTATTTTGTAGTTTTAGTGGATCTATTTCAAGGATGTTTATCAATAGTCGTATTTACAAGTTTTGGAGCATCTTTATAGAATTACTCGGGCGGATTTTTGTGGGGAACATTTGTTGCTCTGGAGACATGACCTATTTTATGGTGTAATTTTAAAACTTTCTCAAACCGATCAAGTGTTTACTGTCATTGACATACTTTCAATAACGCAACATAAACCGTTGTCTGTTTTACTTTATTCACCGTACAAAACTGGTACTTGGTAAGAGTAGTTACTTGTCAGCGATCCATTGTTTCTTTTTACATTAGTTCTCGTCCATTGTATGTGATAAACAGCTTCTTACTTGCGCACCCGTTAGCGACGTGCGAATAAGAACGGAAATTCTGTGCGTGACCATAATCCCACTGTAATACGGGCCCTAGAATAATTGTCAAAATAGCGATTCCATGAAGTTAGACCTGTTGTTCTTGGCCAGCGTGCTTCTAATAAAAGTTTTTTTTAAGTTGCGATTGCTAGTAGTATGAAGCCGGGAATTTGAAAACGGATGGGGGGAGTTTTCTGTTTGCGAGATGCGTTGTCCATTTTTGATTCGTGGATGCATAATCGATGCCATATTTCGTATGTATATGATATGCATGATCGGCAATGGCTTCGTTCGTTCACCGTTCAATCGTTCGTCGTCGATGTCGTGTCGTTCTGATTTCGCCGAATGATCGTGTCGCGCATCGCGCATCGTATCGCGTGAACGCTCGTGTACTGCTGTTGCGGCCATTGTCGTCTCTGCTGGTTTTATGCCGAAGTTTCTCGTTCTTAATCGCTAACCGATATCGACGTAGAATCTTTTTCAGTCGACGTTCGCGTTTTTACTTTGTCGTCGTCGACGACGATTTCTGAAACGATGCGCGGCGTCGCAGCCTCCTACGATGACAAGCCGCCCCCTCCACCACTACGATTCAGTAGTGGATCTGGCGGTAAGGAGCAATCGGTGAGTGTATTACTACTTTTGTTTTCAACTTTGCTGTGTGTTTTCGACGTTCTAGTTATAATGAGATGTTTTGAATATAATGTATCACTAGTGCAGGACCATTCTGAATCATTCTGACACGGGAGCTCGCTCACTACTTTTCTCGTTTTGACCAGTTTGAGAACCAAAGCCAGTTATGTCGAGTTTGTTTTTTGATATCGCGCCCGATTAAGGTCAGACATACTGGGATTGCCGAGTTTACCCTCCCCGTTCTCCCTCATTCGTTTTTCTACCGTTTTCCACTCCGACGTACAACTTCGATTAGGATTGTCCTCCTCCTCTCCTTCTGCCACTGAAATGACCTATTTTATTTTAGCTGATTCTCTTGAGTGTTTGCTTCCCTTCAGCAGTACGATACGCTGATGCCCTGTCATTGTAGACCCTCCCCTCTCCTTACGCCCTCCTCTCTTCTGAATATGACCACATCTCGCAAAAGTGGCCCATTTTGCGCTCGCCACTGTGCGCGGTTCTGTTCGATTCTGATGTTTCTATGGAATTATTCTTGCTTCAGTTACACGTGTTAGATCTATGCCTCGTTATTCATAGAACCTGTTGAATCTGGAATAGGAGGCAGATGGTGCTTTGAGAAACTTCTTAACATGTTGTCTAAGTGTCAGCTTTTTGAGCGGGGCTAGTTCTTAAATGACTAACTTTATTTAGTACTCTTCATTTAGAAAATCTTATAGCTTACTATCTTAGTGTTCTAAGCAGTTTTTTAAATATTGTAACGAAATTAAACACCCATACTGGGTTTACTTAGACGGTAACCACTCAGCGAGTTCATGGTGGGTTCAGATAAGACAAATGGCAGTCACTCAAACGTAACCTAGCTGGCTGGCTTATAAACTTTAGACTCCTGTTGGAGCCAGGATGTATTGCTGTTACTATTTTTACCTTTACCAGTTGCTGAGTGAATTATCAAACCTGAAATCTTAGTCGCTCAGTAGTATTTTCACGCCGGCGATTTTCTATTTGGTTGTTGGCCATTGAGCTCCTTTATATTTCTTGATTTCAATCAATAACCAATTTATTACGAGAATTAGTCAGCATTTCATAAGGAAATATTACTGGAATTTCGTTGACATGCGGTTGCCATTGATTTTCCTTTTTGGATTGGTAACTGCTGCACTACTTATCAATGTCCCCTTCGTGAAGTTATTTAATCAATCAAGTTATTTTTTAGGTGGTTGGCTTGAAACCGTTACCGAAGGAGCCGACCGATTCTGGAAAGAAAAAGAAAAGCATGTCGAATCCTTTTGTTAAAAGTGAGTTGTAAAGTTGTTTTTCCCTTCAATATTTCTCAACAATGTTTTAGTAAACATAGCTGGCTCATTCTCTTTAGTGTTTTCACATTCTGTATTGGCGGGCGGCTTCGAAGCCATAACCATGATTCATTTCATTTTTCCTTTCAAAGTGTTGCCGGAAGGCCTGAGAGATGTACGATTAGTACTTTTACAGAGAATCGCGAAAAAAAGGAGGTTCCGGAGAAACCGGTTATCTCTGAACCTAGCAATTTTGAACACACGGTTCATGTTGGCTACGATCCTGCTACGGGTGAATTTACGGTTAGTGATGCTTTTAGTTCTTCATTTTTATATTGTAAATGTTAACTACCGGCAACGTTAGTATAAAGTTGGCCTAATCATGCAGAACCAACATTCCCTTCAAATCCTGTATTCCAATTGTTCAGAGTGGGCGTTTTCATTTTTCGGGTTCGGGCGGACCAAGTATGTATTGTATGCCTTAAGTTAACGAGCTCTTTTGTCTGCGGCTTCAGTGAGGAGGTCCCTTTGAATGGAACGTTTCATCTTAGATCTTTCCAAACCGCTTCGTTGTCATTTTAGTGGAATTTTGTGCAAATTTTAGGTTCAGCTGTGTTTTTTTTTTAGCCCGGCAAATCATGCTTGTTAAAAAAATCTGCAGAATCCTTCCAAAAAATTGGTGCATTTTTTTCAGGGTGACCTCTTTCCATATTTAGTGGTAAAGGTGTTCGTGATCGAAGTAAACAGAGCCCTTTGAAAAAAAGATCATGATTTAAGAGTTTTGCTCTGAATAACTCCGATTTTTGTTTTCGCTGGATATGAATTTTCCTTGGATTAATTGAGCTAATTGGATAATCGTTTGTTGTCAACCCATTGAAATCAGAAAAGATTGCAGTGGACTGATTGGATTGCTTTGCTGTTACAAAAACTTTTTTTTGAATTTAAAGCCAAACCTGGGAACAACAGCGGATTTTTGGGGTGTTTGTCTCACCCGGCTGGGTATTAGGGTTTTATTGGGATCATTACTGTGCTACAAAGGGATTACCTCACAGTTGTGGTGACCAAAGCAGTTGTGCATAGTGTAATACTAGCATGGAAATGCATTCCCATCCATTGGTTCTGCGTATAAACACCTTGCTGTGCTGAGCTTTAGTCATTTCCTACTGTTAAAGCTATGATGCGTGATTATTATTATTATATTTTCATGGTGAGTTTTGATAAACTGGGAGATCAGCCTCCAATTTTCTAAATGAGGTTTTTTTTTTAATTTGTTTTGGTAATTTTTTCCATGTTTGTAGGGTATGCCGTCAGCATGGGCACGTTTATTAATGGAATCGCAAATTTCCAAACAAGAACAACAACAAAATCCACAAGCAGTCCTTGATGCTCTCAAATACTATACTCAAGGCGAGAATGGTTCACAGCAAAAGTGGCTGCAATATGATATGAGTGAGTGTGTTTTTATTGTCGAAAATTGGCCACATTTTTCTTTCCTTCATCCGCACTCTATGTCTATGACTATTTTTGGTTTGATTGAAGGCAATACTGCTTTTTTAGCGTGGGCGATTATAAAGCGCTTTTAGGGCTAATCGAAGTCGTCATATGAGTCATACATGTGTAGCGATAATGTGAAAATGTCTTTCGCAAAGTTCAGTCGATGCTTTGTCAGTTGTGATTGAAAAGGGGGATGAATAGAGACTGGACGGGGTGGGGGGAACGGTTGAAATGCAGCGATTGATTGGCTGAGACAAGAGATAGGGAGACATAATGTGATCACGATTGCAGTGGGAAATTTTGCAAAGAATTTCATCTGCTGGCGTGGCGCTCAGGGTATTTTGGCAAAGGGCAAAGGGTTTTTCCCCGTTTCCAATTTGTTAGAACCTGCAACACTGAATAGAGACAAATCACTTGCAAGTTCTGCTTTGACAGCTTATCCTAGAAGTCGCTGGGTGTCAGGGTGTCCTTGAATTTCATACATCTCTTCATTTCTCAATGGATATGGATGGTGGAAAGTTTGTACAAGCAAATTTTGCTCAATACATAGTGATTATACACCTTCTGTTTGTAAAGTGCCATTGTGGGATGATATGAGAAGGGGAATGGAAAAGAAGCCCGTAAAAAGGTGTCTGAGTACATATGTACTTTCTTGGATGCATTTCTTTGCCTTTCTCCCTTTAAAGGCGATAACCAGAGAAGTTATTCCTTTCAGAATGAAAGAAAGAGTTGTCTGGTTTGTCGGCATTTCTTTTTAAAATCTGTTAATCTATCAAAAAACCTTGAAAGACCAGTTCTGTTCCAGATGACTGCTCACCGCGGCCATCCACTGGTGCAACAATTGGGCTCAAAACAATGGGCTACAGCACATCCTCATTACCTCATCACTACTCCAACACTAGTCCATTTCATACGCATACCGGTGGTCAGCCGGTATTTCATGGTGCGCCTGCTACTTGTTATGTTATTATGTATTATTATTTTTTATGTTATTACTGTGATTTTTAAACTTGTAATAGGTTCCAGTATACATGATTTCATCCGAACGTGTTTTCACATGTTCAAATACATACAAGGCACTAGCAATTCTTCGTATTTTTCTTGAATTCAAATGTCATTTTCGGGCGCTGTGGAGTGGGCGCTGATATCGTTGTCTCGGATACCGTACCAACAATACCAGTTTTCTGCATTCTCTGGGCTGCTTCCTTCTGAAATTGTCCGTTTTGCAATCAGATAGCGATGCATATGCGAGTTGACATAACCAAATGCTCTAGAATATGGTGAAAGAAGAATTGCCGATGGCTTATTCTTGTATATGAGGCTCATATTTCACCTATCGAAATTGCCTGTTAGAGCATTACGGTCATGTCGGCTTCACGTGCATTCTGAGCTTGGCTATCTTCAGATTTCGTCTCCAATAAGTATTGTAATTGTAAAGTAGTAGCCAAAAACTTGAGTTACAGTAGTTTGAGGCAAAGGTGTTATCTCTTTAAAAATTCTGTATACCCTCAACTAGTTATGCATATTTCAGGTTCAAACCAAGAGCTAAAAAACTCCCCGAAGCAATTGGCCCCACTTCCTAAGCCATACAGTTCTTCAAAGCCGCCTTTGGTTCAAGGATACAGTGCTGTTAGTGAGAATCGTACAAGTATGCCACCAGTGAGTTAATTTGGTGTTGATTAATTCTTCTTGAGACTTTTCGAACAAAACATGACCGACTGTTTATTGAGCCCGTTCGTCTTATAGAATTATGCTCCTCCTCCTGTACCAGAAGATGAGGATCCTGCTGACTGTGCAATGCCGCCACCGATTCCAGATCGTCCAGCTCGCACGCTCAGCATAGTAAGTGCTACAAATACTTCTTAAGCTTTCGAACATTGTACTAAACAGGTTTTCGACAAAGAAAATGCTTCAATTGGATCATGCCGGAACAGTGTACAGTTTTTGTGTTTCAGTACACAAAACCGAAAGAGGAGGAGGAACGCGTACCGGATCTGTCCCAGGGACAGTTTGGTGTACAGTCTAGGGGGGTTGCGAAGGGAAAGAGGAAAATGACGGATGCCGAGGTATTTCACTATATTTCATAATTTGTTGATTTTTTTTTGTAACGAATATACGCTGCAAATCATCATTACTGAAACAAAGATGAGAGATGTTTCAGCTCTGTTTACCTTCGCAATGAGTAATGCTATCAGTTTTGTTAAGGTATTGACGAAATTGCGTTCCATTGTGACTATTGGCAATCCTGACAAGAAGTATAAGAAGATTGATAAGATCGGTTCAGGGTGAGTAATATCGGAGACTTAAACTAAGAGATGAAAGCAAAAATCGCTTTTGAAATTGAAGTAATACAGGTACTCCTATGTATGGGTAGTCAAACGAGGGCTTCTTCATGACTTGCACCCTTTGTATGTTCAGACGGTTCAGGTTCAACAAATACTTTTAAGCACCTGTGTGTTTTTTTGGTTTCTGATTTCTGTCGTTGGGCTGCGTTCCCACAATTTTGGGTATGCATCGCATCCACTCAGTTTTTTATGTTTTGAAGTAAGACCGGATTTTCTAGGCATACATGCTACCTGCAATAGATTATAAAAAGTTAACATTGTCGATGAGAATTCGAAACCAAGATTTTCATAAACACACTCGTAATATAGTGTCACATTGTGAGTCACACTTGATCTTTGTGTGTACAAACAATGCTGTCTTCAAAATAACATGAATCAGTGGGATTTCCAATAAACACAAATGTCGAAATGTCCTTCATACCAACTTCCGATACCTAGCAGCTTCTTTATAGTCAAAACCGTTGTCGTATTTTTTCTGGTCGGTTGTCTAGTTATCCTTCGAATCGGAGGTATGCATGTGGGACGGGCATTGGCTCCCTACCGAGAGTTTCAAGACTTTCGAAATAAAGATTTGTTGTTAGCGTATTTGTTGAGAGGATTGGATCGAACAGAAGGATTTCTGGTATAAACGGAAATTTTATGAAATGTTTTGGTCTGGTGGTGGGGGGATTGGGGGGGGGGGGGGGGGGGGGGTAATGTTCAGTGGCTTTTTGTGATGGTTCCTTGCATCGCATTGGTAAATAAAAGCTGGATTCGGACGAAAGTACACTAATAAATATAAACAGTTGTGGTAGAACGTGGATGTTTCAGAGCGTCAGGATCAGTATACACTGCCATGGAGATGAGTACAGGTGCGGAGGTTGCTATCAAGCAGATGAACCTCAAGGATCAACCGAAAAAGGAGCTTATCATCAACGAAATTCTCGTCATGCGTGAAAATAAACATGCAAACATAGTAAACTACCTGGATTCTTATTTAGTAGGAGAAGAACTATGGGTGGGTATTGCATCTGTTTAAATTAGTTTTTCTAAGCTCCCAATTTCTTGCCCAGTTATATTTTCTGATGTATTTTGCAACCGATCTTTGCGTTTCAGGTAGTAATGGAGTATTTGGCCGGTGGTTCTCTTACTGACGTTGTCACGGAATGCCAAATGGAGGAGGGAATGATCGCTGCTGTATGTCGAGAGGTGATTACTTACCTAATTTTATAAATCGAACCCAAAGTATAGTCTTTTGACCTGAATGTATGACGTTGAAGTAATCTTTGTGAGTAAGAAACTCAAACCAATTTAATCTTTTATACACACAGTGGGGACTGTTGTGCAGTTCGCCCGACGTGTTTGTGCCGGGGCACGTTATCTTCACAGCTGAATTGCTTCCGTGGTTTTTCATGCTTCCTATTTCTTTTGTACTTTCTCGTCTTCATGTTATGCATAAAATCAATGTTTTGATGTGGTTAACAGCTAATTTTATTGAAGTCAGTTTTATTGTGAATACAATATTACGATAATCGCTAACATGAACCTCATTCTTTCGTTTTATTCACTAAAACTGAAACAAACGACGTCACACTTGTCCTCGATCTGCTTTGATTTATCATTTTAAGGTAGTGGAGGACAGGGTATGAAGTTCGATGAAAGTTGATTTTCTTGACTTTCAGGTTCTTCAAGCGTTAGAGTTTTTGCATAGTCGACATGTGATTCATCGGGATATCAAGTCGGACAACATTTTGCTTGGAATGGATGGTTCAGTGAAATTAAGTATGTTTTGGTCGCCTTTCATACTATTTAACTTTCATTTTTCTTTCGTCCTCTCCTATCGTTTTATCACCACACAGCACTGAGTGCACTTTGCACCACCAAATTACATTGACGTCAGATTTTCCGTCAGGTGTACGTCACAGAGGTTTTTTCAATGCTTTTATGAGTCAGAGCAGCGCAATGTACATTGTAAACTTGCAATTTTAACATATCATTTAAGCTGACTTCGGATTTTGTGCGCAAATTTCTCCGGAGCAAAATAAACGAACAACGATGGTTGGAACTCCATATTGGGTTAGTAGGACCGATTCGTCCGTTTTTTTTNTTTTTTTTCTGTCCTATTTTACGCTTACTTACTCAAGCTGCCTTGATAATTGTAAGTTGATGCCTGATTTTTCAGATGTCACCTGAAGTTGTTACTCGGAAGCAGTATGGCCCAAAAGTGGACGTTTGGTCTCTGGGTATAATGGCAATCGAAATGGTAGAAGGCGAACCTCCTTATTTGAACGAGAATCCTTTGAGGGTAAGTTTTGTACGGAGCTACGGGAAAACACCTTTTTCTGGGATCAAAGGAATTGAAATGATTCAGGATTTGGATTTTTTACATTATTTTAATTTACAGGCTATCTATCTCATTGCAACGAATGGTAAACCCGATTTCCCTGGCAGGGATCAATTGTCAGCTTCATTTAAGGTCTTTCTTTTTTCTAAACTTTTGAATTACTTTAGCCTTGAACATAGTAATAGTAATAGAGTTAATTCAGTAATTTTTCCTTTCTCGAGTACTTTTTTTCAGGATTTCATCGATTGTGCACTCGAAGTTGTCGTAGATAATCGTTGGTCAGCCAGTCAGTTGCTCACTCATCCGTTCCTCCGGTGTGCAAAGCCATTGGCGTCACTTTACTACCTCATCGTTGCCGCTAAAAAGAGTATAGCTGCAAGTTCGTAGCAGAATCACTCGTCTATGAAATTCTGCTATAACTGGTAAGAAGACAAGAACATGTTTCGTCCAGTGCCAAAGTTATTCATTTGCATTTGTCATATTATGTTCACTGGCATACATTGTCATACGCATACGTTGTCATATCCTTCATTTCCCGAATACGTCCCGATCCTGAAGAGATTTTTCTTCATATCCCTGTCGTGTTTTCTGAGTGCAGTGTTTTTCTCATCATCGTCATTTCGCCTTGCCTATGCCATTTGTGTTGCTCGTGTTTTTGTATACAGTTGAATTGACTGAAGTGCTGCATGCGTCCGTACTGCGTGGGTATTGAGCGTGCGGTTGCGGACGCTGCCACAATCTGCAGTACCTAGCACATTTAGGCTGATCATTTCCACTGTATAAGGTGTATTAGTTACATGTTTCTCCCCGTACATGGTAAATGCCAACGGGTGGCCTTCACCGCTTTTTACTGCTTCAATCCTAAGCATGCATTTAAGTTAATATCTTGGTATAACTCTCTCATTTTTGCTTTTGTGTTTCGTTTTGGTTGATCTTGCTTTCGCTGTGCTCTTTTGCTCGAACTTATTGCTTTGAAGTGCACCGAATTGGACATTCTTATGCGCCTGTGTCCTGCGAAGATTTGTAAGTTTTGGGAAACTCGTCCGTCATGGGTTAGCTGCTGTGTAGTAATCGTATCATTTATACTATGAGCTGTGTCTGGTGCCATGAATTTTTCTATATTCTGTGGTTTACTAGTATATTACTATTGTTTTTAATGGAATGGAGTGTGTTTGTATGCTTACAATAGTGCTATACATTTTATACCGTTCTTTTTATAATAGATAAGTGTTAGAACAGAAAACTGCTCTAATCGTTGTATGGTCTTCACTTGAGTGCGTTTATCGATTGTGTCGCTTAAAATAACGATTTTGTTTCTTGTATAGACACAAATTTCGATTCTAATTCACTTAAGATTGTTTTTTATTTTGTTAGTATCTGCTAGTCAGGGGTTTACATGTGTATAGCCCATTCTATCGCAGTTTTTGTTTACGATGTTTACGTTACGATGAAAAAGTGTGCTTGTTCATATCTCTTCATTTGCATTCATAATGTTGTACGTATTCAGTGTAAGGAATCTCGAGGCTAGAGGTTAGAATAAATTATTGATTTTTTTCTCGCCCGAGAGCCACAACGAAATAGCGGGATAGCTAGCATGATATCACCCACTATCACTTGTTATCACGGCTGTTATCCTTACAAGGCAAGCTGTCTTGCCTTAGGCTGTCAATCCAGCTTTCGTGTATAGCAGAACACACATACACATAGAGAGAAAGGATAATGCCTTTAGTATTAATATATCCCGTCTTTGGGATGCGCCCCGCATTCGACTTCCATTT